GAAAGTGCTCAAGAACACATTTTTGTCTTTTTAAATGAAGAGACCACCACTGTATCTCGTGTTGTCATTTCTATTGGTAGCCTTTAATGCACAGCACTGTTTCTACCCGGTCTTTTTACCTGACCTCTGCACTTGCACATGCAGTTGCAACCCACATATCACCGTGTTATCCCAGGATAGAGCTCCCAGGAGCCACAAAACAAGCAAAGAGTCCCTGATCCTGAAGCACAACCTCACAGTTCGGGGAGCTGAACTGGCATCAGCCCTGCATGGGCTCAAAACCTGATGTTCATGTGCAAACTGCTTCTCTTCCACTTCAACAAACCAGCATCCAAAACCCCTTCCAGAAATGCCCCAGAAAATTTCTCAGGCTTCAGCAATCAAGCCAGAAGGATGAACTATACAGCAGCAGTCCTACAAATGCACTAACCGGTGGTTGAAGACAGAAGAGGAGTGCGACCACTAGCCTAACATGGTGAAACAGATCTATGAAGAGCTGAGCTTTCAGAGTGAGTGTTCCTTGAAAATTCTAAAAATTACAGATTTATTAGCCATTTAACTTATTTAATATTAACAACATCTATTTAACATTATCTATGTAATATCTACATAGGTCATGGAAACACAGAATGGTTTGGGTTGGAACGGACCTCAAAGCCCCCCCAGTGCCCCCCCTGCCCCGGGCAGGGCCCCCTTCCCCCAGCCCAGGGGGCTCCCAGCCCCGTCCAACCTGGCCTTGAACCCTTCCAGGGAGGGGGCAGCCACAGCTGCTCTGGGCACCCTGGGCCAGCGCCTCACCCCCCGCACAGGGAACAATTTCTGCCTTAGAGCTCACCTAAATCTGCCCTCTGGCAGTTTAAAACCGTCCCCCCTCGTCCTACCCCCACCCCCTGACCCAGAGTCCCCCCCCACCTCTCCTGTCCCCCCTTTAAGCCCTGGGAGGCCGCTCGAAGGGCTCCCCGGAGCCTTCTCTTCTCCAGGCTGAACCCCCCCAACTCTCTCAGCCCAGCCTCCCAGGGGAGCTGCTCCAGCCCCCCCAGCATCTCCGTGGCCTCCTCTGGCCCCGCTCGAGCAGCTCCGGGTCCTTCTGCTGTTGGGGGCCCCCGAGCTGGCCCCAGCACTGCAGGGGGGTCTCCCCAGAGCGGAGCAGAGGGGGAGAATCCCCCCCCTGGCCCTGCTGCCCCCCCTGCTCTGGCTGCAGCCCAGGACACGGGTGGGTTCTGGGCTGCCAGCGCACGGGGCTGCCTCACGGGCAGTTTTCCCCCCACCAACCCCCCCAGCCCCTCTCCTTGGGGCTGCTCTCCAGCCACCCCTCGCCCAGCCTGGGTTTGTGCTGGGGATTGCCTCGACCCCCGGGCAGGACCTTGCACTTGGCCTTGTTGAACTCCATGAGATTTGCCTGGACCCCCCTCTCCAGCCTGTCCATGACCCTCTGGATGCCACCCCTGCCCTCCCCCGTGTCCCTGCACCACACAGCTCGGTGTTATTGGTGAACTTGTTGAGGGTGTATTCAATCCCACTGGCCCACCCCTCAAATCCACGTCTCTCCAATTTAGAGACAAGGATGTCGTGTGAGACAGTGTCAAATGCTTTGCAGAAGTCCAGGTAGATGACATCAGTTGCTCTGTCCTTATCCATCAGTGCCGTAACCTGATCACAGAAGGCTACCAGATTTGTCAGGCACAACTTGCCCTTACTGAAGCCATGCTGGCTGTCACCAATCACCTCCTTATTTTCCATGTGATCAAGAATAGTTTCCAGGAGGATCCGCTCCATGATCTTGCCAGGTGCAGAGGTGAGGCTGACTGGCCTGTAGCTCCCCAGGTCCTCTTTATTTCCCTTTTTAAAAATGGGGGTTGTTTCCCCTCTTCCAGTCAGCAGGAATTTCAGAGGACTGTCAAACCCTCACAAATATGATGGATAGTGGTTCAGTCACTTCATCTGCCAGTTCCCTCAGGACCCACAGATGCATCTCATCAGGTCCAATGGATGTGTGCATCTTCACGTTCCTTAGATGTTCTCAAACCTGATCTCCTCCTACAATTGGTGGTTCTTCTTTCTCTCAGTCCCCACCTTTGCCTTCTGTGCCTTGGCCAATGTGGCTGGAGCCCTTGATAGTGAAGACTGAGGCAAAAAAGTCCTTGAGTACCTCAGCTTTCTCCATACCCGGGTGACCAGGTCTCCCACTTCCTTCCAGAGAGGGCCCATATTTTCCCTAGATTTCCTTTTATCACTGATGTACCTGTAAAAGTTTCCTTTGTTGCCCTTGACATCCCTGGCCAGATTTAATTCTGTCAGGCCTTTGGCTTTCCTCCCCTGATCCCTGGCTGCTCAGACAGTTTCTCTGTATTCCTCCCAGCCTCCTTGTCCTTGCTTCCACCCACTGTAGGCTTCCTTTTTGTGTCTGAGTTTAGCCAGGAGCTCCTTGTTCATCCATGCAGGCCTCCTGACAGTCTTACCTGACTTCCTCTTCCTCAGTTGGAAGACAAATTTCTCAACTGATAAATAGCCAAAATTGAATAGGCTGGAAAGGAGTATTAGAGAAGGCATTTGTTGGACTTGGAAAAAAGTGTTGTTTTTAAGATCTGTTAAAGAATTTTCAAGAGAAGCTCCCCTGTGAAGATCTGGCCCTGCAGGCAAACCCATCTCATTACATGATATACACTCCTAATAATCTATTAAACTATCCTCCATTTCTGCCCATTTCTAGTTTTACTCAATCAAACCTGGATGTACCAGTCAGAATCCTTCTCCTTCTTTGGATTAATAAATTCTGGCACTCATAGACCATTATGTCCTAGCTTAGGCACAGCAAAGTTAATACTGGGCTCTTACATTTTCTTCAAATCATGTACAAAACCTTCCAGAGCCCTGATTTCTATTACTTTTTTCCTGAGGTCCCCTATTTGTCAATAACTCACTACTAATATGATGCCAGATCTAAAGCACTTTAATTAAGTGCTTTCTTCCCCATACTGCTCCAAGACCTGAATTTTAACTGGGCATGTAGCACATATAAGGACATTATCATCTTCAATCATCTGAAAAAATCCAATATTGCAAACTCACATCTAATGTACTGCCCACATTCATGGCACTCTTTCAATACTACCATCTACCAGGCTTCTTCCATCCCCTAAGTACACGTTGCAGATAAACCTTTGTTATTTTTCCTATGTATCTTACAGAAGTTTCATGTTTTTTTCAAAGCAGTCTTGTTTACTCTGTACTTCTTAGAACCTTACACTTTATCTTCACTCTTTTTGTCTGATCTCACAGTTCTTCCCAGTTAAAACTTACCTGTAACACAATGACTGCCGTTGTTTGAAATAAATGTCCTTCCCAATATTCCATGCAAATGTGAGAAGTTACAGGTCTAACTTAAACTTGGCAGATTTAACTCATGCACCAATATATGCAAAAAAAATAGTAATACAAAAGTCTCTTTCAATCTCATCATTTTTTCTAATTTTATGGTAAAATAGCAGGGTACATTCACCCACACTGAACATCAAGGTTTTTTTACAGGAAAAATATCTCCTTGTGAAACATATTTTTCCCTACTGGAAGGCATGAAGCAAATGAAAAATGTCAGGTTTAGTAGTTTGCTATTTAGGTACAACTCTGCACCTTGTACAGTGGGAAACAATCTACCTTGGATACAGAGTTGGCATAAAAAACCCACAAATATTTATAAAATGGTATGCATATTTGATAAGTCCAAATGATAGCCCACTAAGTTTTAGAATAAAAAGTGTCTATTTTGTAGTGCTTGGTATACATAATAATAAAGGCCTGTGTCACTTCCCTACCTCTCCATCAGCATATTTCTTCACAAGAGTGTGTTCAGTTCCAAGGAAACCCATTACACAGAAGACAGGCACCTTGGCAGCCAAGTGCCTTTCACCATCCCTAACACTGCAGGGCCTTTAGCTGCTTTCTGCAAACCAAGGGAGGAAGGCTTGCTGCACCAGAAGCTCCAAAAATGCTGCTGGAGTTGTGTTAGTTTATGTGTCCCACCTCATTTCTGGCAAGTTCATAAGGAAACCAGCAGGCTCGCCACTTTGGAGATTTGGAAAACATGTGTTTCAGCCAGGTCCGGATGTTGTGGGAATTTTAAGAAGCCAGATCAGGGAATGGGAGGAGGCAGGGCAATGGGTTGGGGTTGGTGCGCCCACGACCTCTGACGTGCTGCCACAGGGGGACATTGGGACAGAGCCTGCCATGGCCACTCACTCCTATTCACATTCATCATCACATCTGGTCTCCCACCACCACCACAGCTGCCTTCTCCTTGCCATCGGCACCCAACCAGACATCATTTTTCTTTCTGTTTCTTCTCGCTAGGTATCAGGCACATCACCTGGTTATCTCTTCTTCTAGAGGATGCCACGCTCCTTAAAACCACTGCTTACAAGCCATGTTCAACAGCTGCTGGAAACCAGGCGTAACATAAATTAATAAATATTCTATAGTAAAGCTACATTAACTGCTTGCCCCTAAAGAGCTGTTTAGTGGCATGTCAGGCACAGCTGTGTAATCAAAGGATTACAGTGCTCCCATTGCAACCCGCCTGCCGCACTCCAGCTCCTCGGTTGCTTTCCCATCTCCCTTTTGCATGTGAAAACCAAATCAAGCAAGCGGGACAAAATTGTAATCATGTTTTTCAGCCCGGGAAACACAACTGAAAAGGTCACACGGACAAACAGCCAGTGCAACTGTACAACATGCTTTATGTTAGATACATGGACAGTCCTACATATTTTTAAGGGAATGGGTCAAGAATGCTCTACGTAATTAGTTAATTTTAGTGAAATTTTAGTATAAGTGGAGAGATCGGTGTAATTCAGACTGCTTTGAGATAAGAACTGGTAGAAGCTTACAGATCCCTTCCCCTCACGTGAATAACTGTATTTAGACTCCAAATCTGGCACCGTACTTTGTCAGCAAGGAAAACATTGCACTTCACTAAAACACGTATATAAATAAGAAATACTAACCTGTGGGTGAAAGCAGTGAAAAAAGTGCTCTCGTATTGGAAATCTATCTTGTTTTTCCACAGCACTTTGGATTCTTCCAGTTGAGCAACATAACTCCAGCAAGGATTATGTTGGGAATTCAGAGTTATCCCTCACTGTGCAAAGTATGGAGGAAAATAGGTGGGTTAAGGGAGGAACTGAAGCCTAAAGACAACAATTAAGGAGCCCAGTTCAAACCACGGTACAGCTCCTGCAAACTCGATAAGACATTGGAACCAGGGTGATTCACATCACCCGAGTCTCCAGAGTAAATTATTTAATGGCACATTTCCTTGGAGTTTCCGATTTGGGGATATACAGCCTTGAAGGATGTAGTAACTGTAAGAGTAATTAAGAGTTAGGAGGGAGAGGGAGCATATCGGCATCTGTTGGAGTCCTGTCTTTCTTCACCTGAATGATGTATCTGTACCAAAAGAGAAACACAGTTGGATGTTCTAACTTCCTAAATCAATACATCATTTAGGCAAGATCAGACTGCTGCTGCTAGCTTATCTGTAGAGAAAATATTTCAGAATGTATTGGTAACACAATGATGAGTTACAACTTCCTAAAATTTTGCTCCCATGAACATATGAGGAAACACTCAGCATAGGAAAAGTAGTTAATAATAATAAGGATTCCCTTCCTAGTCAGCAGAGGAGTTTGATGAGAAATCCTTATTGTGGGGTGGAGGGATTGTAGCATCATGGTTAGCAATACCTCATTAACTTTGGAAGAGTTTGCTGCCATCCATCTAACAACTTGATTGTAAATATAAACTGATACTTTGAAAGATACTTTAGTATTGGAACGCAGTCCGCCTTTAAAAACATATGTGATAACACTGACATCACCTGGGCCACCAGTATAATCTCTGCCCACTGAAACTCCTGGTTCTCACAGAGCTCCTGCCACAGGTTGCTTAAAATAATGTTAAAATATAAGCAGTATCTTATTTGAATCTCTATGATTTTGCATACATAATCCCATCCTTGTTAATGCTGTTAGTGGACTACATAACTGCATCCTTCCACTTCAACCCCATGAAATAATTCAAATACAAGAGTCTGCTTCAACCTTCTCATTTATACAGTTTCCAGATACCTACTTTTAGTTCAGCAAAAAAGATAAAATCCATTCCTGTCTCCCATTGCATTAGTGGAATTAAGTGTTTTGTCATGTAAATCTCTGCTGTTTCATCATGTTCCTGTTACAAAGCACCAAATAAAACACTCTGAATTTGAGACTAGTCCTCCTATTACAAAATCTGAACCATAAAACTATTTTGTTATTGATTTTAGAACTGCATGGTGACTGCACTTATAGGTACAGAATCTAAGTGCCATTTGAAAAAAAAAAAAAAAGAAAAAAAAGGTAGTTTCACTACTAAATCTTCACGCAAGTAGTTTCCTCTTTTCTGCATTCAAATTGATTTTCTTTCTTTTGGCATGTGAAGAGCCAGATGAATCCTTTGACTCCATGCCCAAGAGTGAAATGGCACCAGCAGCAGCAGCGAAGCTCTCAGGGTAAGAGACGTGTGACAACATTTTAATCACTAACAAAAAAAGAGCTTCAGGACAACTACTCCATTAGTATTTACTGTTTATAAATGAGTGTGTGTATAGATATATGTGTGTGTCTATATATAAAATACATATATAAATGTATATAAATAGCATAGATATAAATACCTATGAATAGCTCATATATATGTTGTGACTTTATTGATGGAAATTTCCCTATTTGCCAGAGATTAAGTAGTCCCCAGTTATCATCAAGTGCAATGTTGTTCAAGTAGGCATTTGTTTACACAAACAAGCACATATGATTTTCAGTTAAACCTTAAACATATTTACTCTTCACAAACAGTTCCAGCAAACTCTGAGTTTTAATCGGTAATCTCCTCATCTGACTACTCTGCTTTTTTTAGTCACAAAATGCAAAAGGCACGTGTTTGTTCTACAGGAGACAATAATGATTTTTTTGTCTGGCTAACAATTCAAGAAGTGAAACCATTCTTATGTCATATGCAAGCAAATCAATATGAAGAGAACATTATGCCATAGAACAGAATAATAATAAAAACTGAATACATTTCCATATCTGAAAGTTTGGTAGGTGTTCAGATGCACCATCCTAGAAATACTATCACCTATCCCATTAACCTACAAATCTAGCTGTGTCTAAGTCAATTCACTGCAGAGTACGGCTGTAGTATTACAATGAAGCAGCACTGAAAAAAAAAAAAAAAAAATATATATATATATATATGACACCAAAGTTCAGCTGGTGAGTCGTTGCTTAACAGACTCTAACCATAATAACCCGTCACTGAACCTTGACTGCATTCTCAGCAAAAGCATGCTATGAAGCTATTTTTAACAGCCAACAGCTTGCATTTAAGAAATACCCCTCTTCACCTAAAAATATGCATCAGTGAATGGCAACAGCCATCCACGGCTTAATTCTAGGCTGGATGCGCTGCCGGAATTAAATGAATCTCTCACAGAAAGCCGCTTTCCAAGTGTCTCCTCTCCCAAACCACCGTAAAACCAGCGCAATTAGCCAATGAGCAGTTCTCCGGCAGCAGCAGGGATCTGCCCAACACAGGCAGCCCGCCGAGCTGACAGCAAATTGCATTACCTTTGTCATCATTCCACCCTCCCCTGAGCACTAACCTGCTCAGGGGCACGGTTTAAAAAGTGTGTGTGTGTCCCCCCCCACCCGCGCCCCTCCGCTCGCCCACCGCGCAGCACCGCGGGATGCTGCACCCAGTGCCCCAGCCCGCACCCCCGGGACCCACCCGCGGAGGGGAACGGACACACACACGGACACTCAGGAAACGGAGAAGGAGGGGGGAGGAGGGGAGCACGGCCAGCCTTCACCCTGGAGTAATTGGAGGGGGGGGGGGGGGCAGCCGGCGGTGTCTCCGCACCCCCAGAGCCGGCTCCGCGCCGCTCCGCCCGCTGCTACCGACTGGCCGCTCAACTTCCCGCAAAGTCCCGCAGCCTCGAAACTTGGGCAGACACACACACACACACACCCGCACACATACCCCCCCCCCCCCCCCTCCAGCCCCAAACCCCAAATCCAACCCCAAACCCCAAACCCCAAACCCCATCCCCATCCCGGCGGCCGCGCTCCCAGCGCACCTACCTCCGCGGCTCTGCCCCGCTCCGCGCCCGCTCGTCCTCCCGTCCGCGCCCGCCGCCTCCGCCGGCTCTGCCCTGCGGGGGGGGCGGAGGAGAGGGAGGAGGAAGGAGGAGGAGGAGGAGGAGGAGGAGGAGGAAGAAGAAGGGGGAGGGAGGGAGGGAGGGAGCGCTGCGCAGCCCGGGAGGCGGCGTGCTGCCGCTGGGCTCGGCCCCGCTGGCTCCGCGGAGGCGGGGGGTCCCCAGCGCCCCCACCCCGAGAAAAATTGGGGGGTGGGGGGGGGGTGGGGGGGGAGTGAGGCTGGGGAGAGCCGCCCTGCTACCGGCGGCTCCGCGGGGGATGCGGAGCGGATCCCAGCCGGTCCCCGCCCCCGCGGCTCGCCGGTCCTGGCAGCACCAAGCGCCGGCTGAGCTCCCCCCAAAAAAAGGTTTTGGGAGGAGATGGGCCTCTCCTGAGTGAGGCGAGGGGAAAGCCGAGCTGCCCCCAGCAAACGGCGTTTAGGTGGAACCAGCATCCCCAGTTGCGTGCCGGGGGCGGGGGGGGCAGTCAGAGGTCAAGCTGAGGAGACCCTTGCCCCTACGCTGCCAGGTCTCCATCCTTCGGACAAGTCAGATTTCCCTGCTGCGTGTCTTGCAGACCCCGTGCAGCATGTACTGCCCTCGTCCCGTTTTGAAACGGCAGCAGCACAAACAGCGGCTAAGAAGCCAAAATCTTTTATTCCGTTAAGTGCCAGGTTCATTCTCAACCAAGAGGATCCTACCATGTATACAGAAATACGTGTCTGTGTAAACATATGGCTCGCTTACTGAGCCATCCAGGTGAGAGATACACGCACATACCTCCTGCGGTGCGGCACGCACGGTCTCACGTGAAGGTTTAATGCAGTGCTTGCAAAGCTGGTGGTATCAGAAGTTGCTGTGCAGCTGCAACTGCGCGCAGCTGGTCGGGGTTCGTGTGAACACATTGGAGGAAAACTCTTCTTTCCCTCCTAACCCGAAGCGAACCCACTGCTGGGCTTAGATCTGCATGCTTAGTATTCCGCAACGTTATTTCTAAGAAGCTGAGGTGATGAAACATGAGCTAAATATGAAAGAGCAGTGAATACTGTATTTTAGTATTTCCTTTCATGATCAACTCAGTCTCTGGTTATTACTTTCAGAAGCAGCTAAAACTTATACAAATTTGTGGGAATCAGTTTTGCAGTGAAACCATATGTAACTCAATAGTAAAATGCAAACCAGAAGCTTTCAGAATACACAGCTATGATTGGGAGCCAAACAGTTTAAAGATTTCAGACAGGTGGTAAAACACATGCAAGACCATATATAAATAACTGAGCCTGACTTAAAAATCACACATGCACAAGTTTCCTATGGCACAGTGTTACGTATCTCTGTTCAGGTCACATCTGATTCTCACCTAATTCTTAGCTAAAAAAACCTTACAGAATAAAACACCTGACTAGGTGAAATCTGTGATTTATAAAATATTCATGAATATTCAGTGTTTCTGGTCTGGGTTGAATATGCTGCCCTCCAAGGCCTTGTTAGGCCTCCCGGGATGCTCTGAATAACAATTATGCTTAGCCAGATTTCTGCATAATTATATTCCCTTCCTTTTTATGTATTTTTTTAAAAATGAACTCAAAGAAGCTGTCACAAAAATAAGATCTTCATTCTCTGGGGAAGTTTCTTTTCACGCTATTCCTCACCAACCATCAGCTGGAGTAAATATCTTGATGGTGGTATCCAAATGCAGTAGCTCAAGTTTCCAGGCACTGCAGAAAGGTTGTGTCTACCCATCTCATGGACACTTACAAACTATCTTCAACATTACCTGGTGAGATGGTAAGGAAAATACAAAATTTTATGGCATAATAAATCACTGTCCAGGAACTAATTGTGTTACCACTAACAATGATAGTCAGAAGAACACTCAGAATAAATAGTCTAAAAACTAAAACTGCACTTTAATTCTCACTATTCAAGACATTCAAAGAGGGAAGAAAATAAGAGATTTTAATACAGAAATTATTGTAAAACTTTCTCTGACTAGACCAGTTTTCATAAAATGAAAGCTCCTGACCTTCACCTCTGTAAATATGATGTCTGCTGGTTGCCATGCTTACTCTGCAACCTATCAAGGATCATCTCACTTTTAAAAAAAAGTTTGTACATATTCCTTAGCTATGATCAGGCTTATCTGGGAAAAAAAATACGGGAGAGCCCTTTAATAGTGTTGAAAAGCAGACATGAAACTAGTAGTGCAAGTGCGTGAATTTTAAAGATGATTTTTTTTACGCAGGGGAGTCTTTCCTTACAGCTGCTGACTGTAGTTTGGGGCAGAAGTCTGGCGAAGAGGTCCGGTGGCTGGGTTTGCCAGCAGCAGAACTGTGCATTTATAGCCAGATTTAACTCTGGGATAAACAAATCAGATTGTGTCCTCAGAGCACCGCCGTAATGGGATGCTAATCCGGGGAAATGGACTGCTCTTCCTCCGTGTGCCTATTACAGTATCAGCATCTTTAAGTTGTTCTCACAGAGGGATTAGAAATGCAGATGTTTCTGCTTTGTGCTTCCTCTGCCAAACTCAAAAATCAGAAGTTCATTGCCTGCAAGAACCTGGGAGACTTTTGCTTCCCACTTCTGCAGCTTTTGGGGAGCCCTTTTCCCGTGACCTCCCGTCACCAGGCGCTGCTTTTCAGAGCTTTTCTCAAGGGATGTTGCTGCAAGGTACCAGCATAAACTGATACCTTTACGTCAAATTGTAATCTCACCAGAAACGGATGAGGGTAGTGACAGGAAAAGAGAAAAATTTCCCCCAAACGTTTCTGTCCCGCTCCTGCCATGAGCTGCGAGGAGCAAACTGATGTGCCGAGTTCCCCAGGAGCTTCCTGAGCGAGCAGGTTCAGGATTCCCCCTTTGGCCAGGAAAGCAAAGGGGGAGCTGGAAGCAAATAGTTTACTGGGTGGGGACCTCTAAATTCAGCTGGAGAGCTTCCATGCAGTAAGTCTGAAAAACCACAAGGTGATATATATGTTGTACTTAACAGTTGTAAGGACTTACACTGCTGTGCGGCCGCGCCGCTCGGCGGAGCAGAGGCACGGCAAAGCCCAATTTCACGCGTTCAATCCTGTCGAATGCGCGGTCGCTTTCTAACAGGGGTTAGGATGTGCAACCACAGAACCCCGACACCCCTGGAGACTATTTTAGCTCTTCTTCCAACTCTGAAGCTGGGCTCTGAGCTGTGAGTTGGTACTACGAGAAAATTGCAGGGAGATTTTCTATTCTTAGTTGTCTGCTCTCCCATTAAAATATTGGTTTCCATTCGCACTGGAATTAATAGAATGTGTATGTTTTAAAGAAATGCATTTTTACTTTTATTTTCCCCATGGTATCCTGGCAACAGACACATTCCTAAAATATAGATCACTAATTTCATATCTTATACATCCTTCGGCTCTCGGTAAACAGTGTATCGATCTTCAAATACTCAGAATCCTTTTTTGCTGTTTTCCCAACTTGGATTGGGAATTATTCTTACTGGCATGCACATCTCTGGAGTGCATCTGGGAGTTCTTTCTCAGTCTTTAATTGAAGGCAGCTCTTTCTTTTCCTAGAATTGGCAAAAATTAATGCTGAAACATGATTAGATAAATGTGTCAGAATTTGGTTTCCCACAAATGGTCTGTTAGATTTTAATGATGTATGTCGAGAGCCAGTTTCCTTTTGCCTAACGCCATCCTTTTATCCCAAGTTATATGTCCTCCAGCATCCTAAAGAATTCCTCTTTATTTGTGATATTTATGCCCTCCAAGTACTTGTCGAAGGGTATCGTTTCCCTCTTAGTCATCATTTAGCCAAGTGATACATATTAAGTTCCTTTAATCTTCACTCATAACTCAGTCTCTTCAGACCTTTAATCATTTTTATTGCTCTTCCATGAATTTCTTCCAATTTATCAACGTCTCTCCAGCAATGAGGTACCCAGAATTTAATGCCTTATTTTAGGTGTGATCTCTCCCTGCAGCAATACAAAAGACGTTACCTCCTGCTACTTTTATCTACCACTGATTTAACAATACGCTGGAATCATGAAGTAGCCAGGAATCAATTAAAATAGATTTTAAATGGTTCAGCACGCAGAATTACCATAACACTTTTGTGGCACTGCACGCAACAAGAAGGCTTGAAGCCAGTTGAAGCCTGCTGCCTTTGGAAATACGTGTGTGTGACTTCTGGGGCAGGCAAAGCTTTTAAACCTGCTGCACGCACAGCTCTGATTCTCTAAAGGAATATGAACAAGGAGTTAGGATTCAGAAGACAAATGGAGACATGTTCAAATTGGCACCAGAATTAGCTCTCGTGCCGAGTGCCTGAGGGTTACACACTGCTCGTCCTATAACTCTTAGATATGTGGCACCAACCAAGGGCTCATCACAGCGATGGTAAAACTAGGTGAGCCAACAGCCAAGGAGCTTGACATTAGGTTGGTTCAGGCTCTTCTCTAAATAGTTTGTTTTAATACAAAAAAAGGAAGTCTTTAGAAATCTGTAACACACCGTGAGCTTCGATTAAAGAGCTTGATATAGCTCAGAAGCAGTGTAGATGGGAAAGATGCCTTAAGACCTCTCAGATCTCTGCTAAAATGGTCAGATGGCTTCTCTGTCACCATTGCATGTGGTTCCTGGTTAAAGACACACATCGCTGCCACTGAAGTCAACGGGAGCTCTGCTCCCGGCTTCTCTTCCCATGTGAACAACCCCGTTGTTTCGCATTGCTCTTGTGAATAAGGAGGGAAGAGTGTTACTCTTGGAGGCGTTTGGTTTCTGTTACAGAATAATCTTTTCCCCTCTGTGTCGTATATTTAAACTGTCACTCTCCAGATCTATTATGTATGTTAATATATTTTGTCTCTGAGCCACTGGTAGGTGATTGTAGGTCACTAAGCCTTTTCGTGTGCACTACAAAACCTAGAGTTTTTTACTTTCATGTTGCCTATTACTCCTCCTCCAGCTCCTGAATTCAAAAT